GCTGGCCACACTGTTCGTGATGCAAACCCTCACACGAGGGTTAGTAAAGCAGGAGTGATAAATGCAGTGGAGGTACCACACGTGAGCTGTGACTTCTACCCCCAGCTGCCACCACTTTGCCCACACTCACAGTATCATAGAATCATAGAATGGTTTGGGTTGGAAGTGACCTTAAAGCTCATCCAGTTCCAACCGCCCTGCCATCAGCAGGGACACCTTCCACTAGACCAGGTTGCTCATCCAGCCATACAAACTGTCTGTGGACCAAGCCTGGCCACTCTTAGTATTTCTTCCACGTAACATTTACAAAACCTCTTCTCCTAAAGGATTTTTTTCCTCTTTTATAAATGAATTAATCTACTAGTCTAAAAAAAAATAAAAATAAAAATAAAAATAAAAAGGGTGACTGCCAATTTCCACAATAATCATTTAACTGCATCCTATTAAGTGTAAACAAAAAGGCACCATCCGCTGACACGCGGAAGGTCTGGCTGCGGTGAGTGTCACGCACTGAACGTCAGGCCAGATTATAACATTTTGACAACAAAAATTGTAAGCAGTTACAAAGCTGTCTGGCAGCCACACAGCAGCCATGGATCCTGTGTTTCCAACACAAACACTGTTTATAGTGGTGTGTATCTTGGCCTTTAATTAGTGCACTCCTAGGATCGATGCGGAGTTGGCTCCTGAACCAGACGTAAAACTCGGCGCCAAGCCCTGGGCACCAAGGTGTGTTTGTACCTGAGTAAAGTCCCTGCCAGGCAGCTCCCAGGGGAGGTGTCTCTGGTCAAAGCAAGGATGATACACACTGCAGAAATGGAGAGGAGGATAAAAAATAGAGGAGAGCACTTGCTCAGAGTAACAGCACTTGCATAAACACACGGGTCATGCCAGTGGCTCTAACTAAACAACTTGGAACAGAAATGTAACCAGTAACTCGTAGCTACTACACAGCCTCTTAAAGCTTCAAAGTTCTTAAAAGCAGACTTTGAAAGCTAGTTCATCTTAACATCAGTAAAAATTAAAATCCTAACTAGAAAACAATCAGTTCATACTTTAAAATTAGCAGAAAAAGCAAAATCAAATATATTAACAGAGAGTTTAAGAGAAACCACTAGTAAATACAGACTGAATGTACTTTAAAAAATGTATTATTTACTACTGTAAGAAATGACAAAATGACAAAACAAGGGGAAATGGGTTTAAACTGAAAGAGGGGAGGTTTAGATTAGATATTAGGAAGAAGTTCTTCACTGTGAGGGTGGTCAGACACTGGAACAGGTTGGACAGAGAAGCTGTGGCTGCTCCTCCCTGGAAGTGTTGAAGGCCAGGCTGGATGAGGCTTTGAGCAACCTGGTCTAGTGGAAGGTGTCCCTGCTGCTGGCAGGGGGGTTGGGACTGGATGAGCTTTAAGGTCCCTTCCAACCCAAACCATTCTATGATTCTATGAAATGTGGTCTCAAAATACTTCAGTTCTTGGCCTGGCCTGTCTTGTCTTGGGTAGAAAAACTGGCAATGTGAGTTCTTACCACATACTATCAATTTGAGATTTGAATTTCTCAAACAGAAAGAATATCTTCCCTTAGAAAGGATCTGTCTTGACGCTTTATTACCTGCATTGTTTTAAATGCAAACAAGAAAGGGAGTCACTAACAAGTACATTTGATTTATCCAATTAGTAATGCTCAATGTATTATTTCTAATAAAAACAGCTTTTCATACCCAGGATCTCACAGTGCAAGAAGAGAAATAGGCAAGAAATACTCAGTCATCACCAAAACAATACATCATGTATATAAAGCCTACAGCACCAGAAACCCAAGTATTTTTCTCTCTCCATCTGTAATACTGAATTGTGTTA